ACTAAACCGTTTCCAAAAAGCGCGGCTTGCCCTGAAAGACCTCCCTTGTGAGAGTAGTCACTTTTAATTCTTTCTAACGCGGGCTACCAAGTCTCGTTCGTTGTGGAAGGCTTCGTCGTCCGTCAAGAACGCGTGAAATGGGACCTCTTTCTTTGCCCGTTGACCTCCGATAATGGACGAGCTAGCAACCAATTAGGAGGTCGTTTGCACATGTTATGCTGATAGCCGCTATCATTCCAGCAAAGATCATGCTTTGATTGATGACGCATTCCATGGAAAGTTATAGGATACACACTCGAAGTGGAATATCTCATCCAAATGATAAGAACAATGATGCTGCTAGCAACACACTATGGGCGGAGCACAGGCGGCGGAGGCGGAGCTCAGGGAGGATTGGCAGCCCCAGGGCGCTGAACTAGCGCGCCTTTGGCCACGAAAAGGCCACATCTTGCTTTCTTAGGCCCTGACTACTGCTTCCAGTGGTGCATGTACATACTTCCATGCTTGCACACGCACTCTGTCTAAAACGGTAAGCAACGAACTTTCAAATCTTACATTTTTTTAAGAAACCTAATGGAAGTCGACTCGGAAGAGTCAACCGTAGCAAAATTAAACAAAAAAGCAGTGTTTGTGATCTAATGGGGTTACATTTACGACCACTGAAGGGGTCGAATTAAGTGCAATGAGAGCTTCAATTAGAAAAAGGTCGGAGGCGAAAATTTCGAGTAATGGGGAAATTTTCCTACGAAACCTAGATGAACTTACAGTTTTCTTATTTTTACTTTGCTCTTACGTATACGGCCTCTCATCCTTCTGATCAACGAACATTTTGGAGAAGGGGCTGTGCCAAGTACAATCAGGATTCTAGAATGGTGAAAGGCTCGAAGAGGGGTACTGTATGAAAACCTCTTGAGGAGGAGGGAATGTAGTGCTGATCCTGACACTGTGCCCAACGCAATGGTTGCCACGCTGCCAAGACAGCAGATGAGATCCGTGTCTGCATAAGCGATCCAACCCAGCGACTACGAAAATTACTTGAGGCATGAGAAGTGTTAAACTTTCAATGTAGCAAATATGTTCTAAGAAATCACTACCGGTACTGGAAGCAATATAAGCATTCGTATCGTAATTAATTTAAAAAAATAAGCCACGAGTCAGGATTAGGTGACCATAGAAGGCCTTTCCATCACTAATATTTCCAGGAATGCGCTCAGAGGGGTGATGCCACACTCCTGACTCGAGATTGCGCGCGCCGTCAAGGCCTCTGGCCTACTACTTACAGCGATGGGTTCGTTTCATCAGCTGGTCCGCCCACCGCGGGATGTGGTGCGTGGCTGGCCTAAAGTGTTGAGATCGGCTGTATGGTCGTGTATTGCAGTTCAAACCGAATGGAAACGGCAAAGCATATCCGGAAAACTCGTTGAGACTGCGGCGCCCGAGCAGGCCTTCATGCTAGGAAGGCGTAAGCGGTTCGTATTCGGTCATGTCGCAACGGTGTTTGCTTACGCTTTTTCAGTTCACGTCGTGCCACATTCCCACCTAGTAACACACAATTTCAGGCGCTTCTACAACTTTTAGAAGATCCGATTACGAGCAACGACTTTCTGCAATGAAGGGCTTTCAAGCTCGAGAGAATCAACTTGGTAAGGCAAGAGAAATGGAGCCTGAAGAAAAACAACAGATAAGAAGGTAGAGCCAGATTTTCATCGAAATTTGTCCACTGCTGTAAATTCGGCCAGAAAGGTGCCCGTACGAGTAGATCGACCCGTAGAACACGAATGTCACATTCGTTTAGGGTGAGAACGCTTGCACGCCATGATGCCGGCGCCCTGGATCAGCAAATTTGTTGTCGACTTACCATCTGAGGTAGTTAAACCAGTAGAAACATGAATATCACACTAGTTTATTGCGAGTGAGCCTGTAGCCTGCGCTACGGGCGCCCGCGCAAAACTGTTGTGATAGCGCCGGCGCCTGTGGCGCGGGCGCCAAGCGTTCTTCGCGCTGAATTGATGTGATGTCCACGTTCCACAGTCAAAATACTTCCAGAGACAACTAACTAGATCCTTAGTCGTGGATTTTCGATTAAAACCCAATCAGTTCTTAAGGAGTGTAGGGACAGTCAAGGGTAAACAGTGCCGATAACAGTGACAAAGCAAGACGGCTAACAAACCTGAAAATAAGGAACAAGCCCACGGTATGAGACGAAAGAGCTGCGCTCATAAGTTCAGCTCAAATGCAAATGAAAATAAATTTTTGTCACTAATCAAAAGAGAGTAGTGTTTCTGTTGGGGTACCCGACAGGAGGCCCGTCGCGCGGCAAGAAGGCAGAGTCGCGGACGAGTCGCAGCGCGTGATGTGCGATGTAGGACGTACAATGGTATTCTATTTAACTTGACGCGAAATCACTACAGTACGCGCTGCGACTCGTCCGCTGACTCTGCCTTCTTGCCGCGCGACGGGCCTCCTGTCGGGTACCCATTGTTTGGTCGTCGCTACCCAAAAGAAGGAAGGAGAGCAAGCAGTTTGAATACAGTCCACTGGAGATATACAGAGGTATGGGGCAGAAGAGTCACGTTGCCCATGGCAAACATTCCCGAATTTTTTGTCGCGCAGGGTGCCGCTGTCCATATAAAAAGACTCCACAGTCTTCAGAATGTGACCTCATCTGCGATCATCGTCGAGCTCAACGAGGCCTACCGTAATCGCTCCAGCCTGAAGCTGCTACACAAATCGGTTAACTGGTGAATAGCTTCCTAGAGACACTAGCTGTGACTATGCAAGACCGCTTTTGACCAGCGTTCCAAATAAACTCGTAATGGTTATGACCGTCGACGATCCCATTGAGCTTGCACCGCGCACCATGTTTGCCGTGGGAAAACCTTCTCTAATGTGTATTGAATTCGTCGACGCATGCCATTGAGCTTGCACGTGACCCAACATTTGCCGAAATAAAGCCTCTTTTATGTCGTCAGGCGGATGAAGAGATGTTGAGCAATGTTATGATAGTGAATGTACCTCTCAATTTCACTGTATGGGCGATCAGTCTGCCCTGTTGACATTTTAACGCGAAGAGTAAGTGATTCTATGTGAATCGCTTAGAGGTGAGAATGACATCCTTTTTGCCCTCCCTTGTGACATTGCAAAACAGATGGACAGTGTTGCACAGTCACTTGTAGTGTAGTGTACGAGCGCAATACCTAAAAAAAAAAGCGGGCCGGTTCGGCGTGCTGCTTTCATGTAGCGAAAAGTCCCTACAAACCTGAACACTCTTTGCAGACAATGACCGAACAAAAAACGCATCTTAAAAGTGAGCCAACAGTGAGGGGCAACTAAGAGTAGAAAAAGTAAACAGCTGAGCCATGGACTCTGAAGGTTGCTGAGTCAATCTCAAGAGCAGATCGCGATCTGCTCCGCTCTAACAAACTGGAGAAAAGTGCGATGGATGGACCTAGATTTTAGTCATGATCGTTAGTCGCCTTACAAATTATGCCATTGTATTCAAACAAACGCAAATAAATTATTACAAAAATAGAGTGTTGCTGCAAGCACGGCGTTGAGTGCTGGTCCCATACGAGAAGAAAAAACGCAAGGCCCCTATCAATACAATTGATTCGATATCTTATATCATACGGCCGACGTTGATTCATTCGAAGTAAACGGGAAATGGCGGAATCTCGAATCCCTTTTGCTAAGCAAGTAAGAACAAAATTAGAACCTACATTAAAGCTCGGTAGCCGAACATGCGTGAACAAAATATTTGATATGCAAACTGCCCTATCAGTACGGAAGTGCCAATATCATATAGACAATCCGTCGCCGTGTATCCCTATGCGCAGCTGTCATAGGTCGCTTCGGATGTGAGAAGACATGAAGCATTCTGCCCACATCTTTGGTTTGTTTACTTCTTTACGTGCGGTTCGTAACAACAAAGAGAAACGAGATATATTCCTAATATCACATCTTTTACACGATCGACATCACATCGACGTCGGCGTGTATCTAAAGCGTACATGAACAAAGAAATCTTCACCCACATTAAGAGCAGAGCGGAAAAAAAGGCTGCGGCTGAGTGTGAGAGTGAGAGAATGTGCGTAAAAACAAAGATCGATGAGGAAAAATCGAGAAAGAGATACGACATCATTGATGAAATGGAGGAACTAAACGCTGAAAGATGATGGAGAAGAAGCACTGGCAAGTGTGGACTATGAGCAAATTCTTGGTAAAATCATCGTCATCAATTTCCTTACACTCACCCCATTGCCATGATAATTCGATCCCAATGGACGTACCCCTACATAAAATCCGCTTATGGAATAACTATTCTGCGTTATAATGACGCGTAGACGGTGTCAACTCATGAAAACTGACAACTCATGCCCAAAACTTAGGAGGCATCCAATAAGTATCGCCTGGTGTCGCCTCAAGTAAGAGCAAGCGCCAGATATCGTTACTGCTGAGGAAAATAGCCCCTCTCTAATCCACAAATTGCCTTGGGTGTAACAGACAGGCAGCATAACGGCATCGGAGGCAAAACAAATGACGCAGCAATCACATTCTTAAAGCACTGTGATTGTCGATCCCCATTTGTTTTGCTTCTGCTTCTTATGCTTCTGCTATGTTTAACAAATAAGAAACAAAAAAGAATCTGATCGCAAATATTCACAACAATATTTTAAGCTCCATATTCTGATCATGACATCGCAGCACTACGCAACTACTATACGCAGAGTGTTCACCAGGGAAATCCAATAATGAACATATTGCCACACGAACGAAGATTGGTAGAATGAGCTAGGACTAGAAGACATTTGTCAATACGCTATATCAACCTAAATAAGGCCTCTAATTTTTGCTAATCATACAAGCTCGGACAATTGCAAATGTGTACACGGAATAAAATCGTAAGCGTGACAGAGAAACGCGAAGAGAAAAACGAAGAGAAGCTATGCGATTTTCGCGCCATTATTTACTATGGCCCCACATAAAAGGAGGTTAAGGTGTCAGAGGGCGGTCGTATGGGACGAGTTGCCACTAGCGTCACCCGCTAGTTGACGCTCTTCGGCAGCGTGCCTTTCGGCAGTAGCCCGACTTCGCGATTCCCTCTGTTTCTGCATGTCTTCACGTTCCTCCTTGAAACGTTGCTCCAGCATAGCTCTACGCAAAGCGATACGCTCGTCCAGCGCCGTCCGTTCCTTAACGCAGTAGTATAATCGTACAGAAAATTATTTATGGTTTGTGTTAGAATAATTAATTGCCTCTTTCTTGAACTTTTGAATTTGAGGAAACCTCAGCCGGTGCTAGCTTTTTTCACCTGGAGGAAGCGTTGGACCGTCTACCAAGACTAGTGCTCTGCAGGGTACGGTTATGGTTCACTAAGAACAACGTTGAGCCCTTCCCCCTTCTTCCTATACAAGTGTCATGGTGAAAGGGCCCACGGAGACTTAAAAACCATCCCTCAAGAGACGACTTCACCCTGAAAGCGGGCAACAGGGAGGACCTTCAAGAAAAGGAGCACGAATGCCATGGGGTGCTGCAGAGAGTAGCTCAGGCTAACGTCAAGAAGACCAAGTTTTTGAGCTCAGAAAAAAAAGCGAAGCGATCGTGGGTGGCTGTGAGGAATTCATCGAAAGTGTAAAGGACTCCCGATGCTTGGGAAGCGATCTGGCTAGTGACGGTGTGTGGATCAGGCAGTAAAGGGACGATCAACGCAGCATGGATGAAATGGAGGGAGTCCACTGGAATCCTCTGCGATCGAAGGTGCTCCAGAACTCAAAGGAAAGTGTACCGGACAGTGGTAAAGCCTGCGATATTGAGCAACGACTGGGAAAGAAGTAAATTATATCAAATTAAAAATAATGATAAGTAAATAGTTTCCACAGGGATCAGCACACAAAAATTGATCACCTTGTCAATAGTATTCTCCAGCTGAGCTTTTTGCTTCTCCTGGTACTCCTTCAACTCGTCCAATTCTTTTGCTAACCGTTCATGCAGTAATCGGGCTTCCTCTTCCTGCCATGATTCCAATTTCCCCTAAAAATAAGTAACAAAAATACAATTGCACCCTGTCAAGTATAAAATGGGTTGGTAAACCGCTCAAATATCCTCAGTATTTCTGAAGAAATGAAGCGAACACAAATGATTACTCCACAATGCAAAAACCTAAAAATGAAACAAAACCTACAGTCTTTTCCTGTACCATGCTTTCGATTTGGTATTCATATTGGGACGTCAGCAAAGCGATGCGGTGTTTCTGTTTCTGAAACAACAACACATGGAGTGCGCAACGCACACAGCCACGCCAAGTGGAATCAATACTTGTTAGTTTTGAGGCCAGATTTCGGCAGAAGACTTCGGAGTTGAAATTTAGCTTTGCTGAGTGAACACCGAGCGTTTCAAAGGACACCTAGCAAAATTGTTTTCACTATTGAGAAGTTCGGGAGAAAGGAGTCGCCACCCTAAGGTTCGCCCTCTATGATACAGCAGTCATGGAAAACTACAGTTCGTATTGTAACATGAAAAAATAAGACGAATGTTCAACTGTTCAACAGATTCGGAATTGAAAAAAAAAACTTTACCTCTTTCAACTGTGTTGCAATCTCCTTATGTTCTTCTTTCGGAGCAGCTTGCATCAACTGCGTTTGGTACAGTTTAAATTGTCTGGTTTGCGTTTTCACAGCTTGGCGGAACTGCTTTCGGATTTGCGCTTCTTTCAACTGAAATAAGTTGGACTATCAAAATGAAAACGAGAATTCTGCTATGAAATAACTGTTCGGCAGCGAACTACGGCCGAAGTTACTAGAGCAGGGCAAAGAAATTCGAACCTTGAGCTCTCTAGGTTGCTGCCTGCTTTGTGTGCGCATGACGCTTTCTCAAATCTTCAGTTTTCCTTCTCGTGTATTCTGTTTGATTCGATGACTCTGCTTCATGTTGTATGATCTGAACGAGAAGGATTAAATAAAACAAATTGAGTTGAATAGAAATTTCTGAGAAAAGAGCGAGATAAACCTTAACATAATAACACCGACATCGAATCCTTGTGCGGTCCATTTTGAATTTTTTGGATTTTTTTTTGAATTTTGAACGCCATCAGAATACTTTACAAGTGACGATTATTTTCAAGCGAAATTCTTGCACTTTAGAGGAGATAGGAGACTGGAAACGGAAGTAAGATGGATATTAGAAAGAGGGTGCATTAGGCGGATAGGTGAGAAGAAATCGCGAGGAGCTCCAGTGGCTTACTGTAAGTGGAAAAAGTGCCGTTTAACACCATGGAGCCCACGCAGCCCATATATGGGCTGAAGTCCGTCGACCGCGTAAACCCTTACAGCCCACATTTTGGAAACATTATGTTTACCTTTTTTTCCATTTGCATACGATAAGGTTTCCTCTGCAGTATACAGTAAGTTTTTGCTTCCCAATTTGCTTGACAAGATTCCTAAAACCTTTCACTGAAGTCCCACGCGACCGCAAAATGTGAAACATGCGTGGTCTACGAAGTGTTAAGATAAATAGTTCGCCACGCATCTAAGCAAATGCTTCAGGAGAGAAAGTACTGCACGCGTAATATTATTATAAAAAGTCTTATCAATATGTCGTAATGTCATAATGTGGTCGTCACGGATTTGTGGCATGTCTACACTTCTTGCGCAACAGGCATAGCACACAAATCACAAAAGCGGCAGAAGCCCATGACACTTTCCGTGCTTCGCTGTTTATAACAGAAAATTTCATTAAGTCAAACCCCTCTATAAGGCTACCCACTTGGTGGCGCTTCCTCATTGTTTGGGTCTCCTTCAGCTGAGCGACTTCAACGTCCCTTGTTGCCTCGTGATGACGCAGCAACATGGCGTGTCGATTATCCATTTGACGTTCCAATACGTTAAGATCCTGAAAATATGCGGCAGATTCCAAAAAGCGAGATTTGATATAGCACATTTTTTATGGATTAATATTATATTAAAAGCCAGCTCCAATTTTTGCGCAAAGACGCTATTTTGTTCATAACCAGCCAGCCCTCTTTACTCATCAGACGTTTTCTTAAGGGCTTTCTTCTCTTATTAAAAACCGATCATTGTGACAAAAATAATGAAATCAAACTACGTATCAGTTAGCTTATTTTGGTAATCTTCACAATCTGAAACCATCCTTTTTCGTTATCGGATCCAAAAACAAATTGTTAATGATCGATAATAGAAATAGTGATGGAGTCATGGCTACTAAAGAGAAGATATGCGTAGAGGAGCGAAAATACGCACCCAACAGCGGTCCCTTATAATTTGAAGTAGATCCTTTTGGAATGAATAAATTCGTGTCATTACCAAGAACGCATGGAAGGCTCACCTCCTCATCTAGCCGTTTCTCGTTGCTGTGCATCATCAGAAGCTGAGCACGCCGATATTTAACCAGTTCCGTCTCAAGTTCTGCACGAAGCTTCGCTTCGAATGCCGTTTCTGCGTTCGTTCTTTGCCGTGTCAATTGAGCTTTCACGTCTTTTACAGCCGACTCATAAGCAGATCGCGATAATCCGCGTTCTTTCAGACTCTGAACGTGATACGTTATAAGTACGTGGAAGGAATAGCACTCAAACCACGAATATGAGCTCGAAAAGATAAAACGAGAAATTCTAGTGAGCTACGAGTTTTCAGTGAAGCTTGTAAAGGAAAAACAAAGGTGTAATGAACCATTGTTGTCGAAGATCATCATTACCGTAACACTCGAGTATGTATGAAGTCACCATCTATGTGAAACCAAAACAAAAAACCTGCACCAGTCTCAACGCACATTTTTGGCGAGCTCTTTGTTGTGACGGTACTCCTTGAGCTGAGAATTGGAAAAACAG